CGAAACTAAGTGCTAAATAAAAAGCGATTTAAGCTTGTGCTTGCACTCCAAAATTCCATCCGAACAAAAAACTCGGTATTTATGAATTACCGCGATTCTCATAACTCTCAGCTAATCCCGAAAACCGAAATGCATTCTGCGAAGCCGAACCAAGCCGAGTTTTAGCAACTACTTCCACAGGTTTTTTTGGAATATATCCAGGATGAAACAAAATGGCGCAGTGAGTACACATAGTCCATTAGGATATATAACAGAGGTAAATTCAACCAAAGATCAAATGCACATTTTCGCTGTATAATTGCTTCCGATAACATGTTCAAAGCTGAACACATGCATGGCAGTTTTTTTAGGTAGTTAATTCGTCAAAAAGCAGAATATTTTACGATTTACGATATCAAAAACAAAAACGCATACGATCTATTTTCAAACAGTGAAAAACCGCAAGCCCCCGGTGTTTAGCTACGGATTTCGCGTGCTAGGATTTAAAAAAAAGAAAAAAACCTCACCCTTCAGACTTGCCATGAACGTGAAAAATTTTTTAGCACAGAGAAAATAACGAAAAAATTGCTTGCAGAAGTGTTTCTGAAATTAAAATAAAAAATTTTCTGAAAAATATGACGGAGACGGCAGTAGATCTTCGAAAATGCAATGTACTGGAATTCATACCAAATCAACCGACCTGAAAATTTCATGATATTGGGGATCTGGGAAATTCATGGAAATAACCGGATCCAGAGGGATGAAAAACTGAAGGGCCAGATGCAAAAAGCCATGATGGTCTCTTCAAAAGCGGCGAATTTAGTGGGTAAATATACAAATAAAATCACAATTTTAAGCATGAGAAAATTCATATTAAATCTTGCGATAAAAAAAAAGTGATTTATTGATTTTTAGCGGACTTCTTTTCGAAATGGCCATTTCAAGAGAATAATTTTTTAACTTTTAATTGTACTACTGCGCGAACTTCAAAAAAAACCGATCGTTTTTATCATTTTCGTTGCTGAGGAACATTAGAACCTGCCCCAGAAATCAAGGAAAAAATTTCAAAGTTTTTCAAAAAAAAATTTCAAAGTTAGACTCAAAAATTATAAAATTTCCTTCCGCTACGATGTAAGAACTTCTAAAAAATCGATTTTTTTATCATTTTCGTTACGAAGAAAAAAAACCATGACGACATTATGATTTGTACTTGAAATACACGAAAAAGTTTCAAAGTTAGACTCAAAAGTTACAAGATTTCCTCCTGCTACTATGTGCATTTTCCGTTTATTACTCATTGGAAGAGGTTCAAATTATAAAAAAAGATGTTATAACTTAACAACTAAATTGCATAAACCTATCAGCGGCCATTTACTGATTGCTGATAATCCATACCACAGAGTGAATCGGTCAAAAAAAAGTCAAAAAGAAACAAAATAGTTATTTCATGAACTAACCCTTCTCATTTTTTCTCTTATCGTTTTTATCAACAGCGTTGTTTGAAAAATCAGCTGATTTGCCGAAATTGATACCTGCAAAAGAGGAAAAATTGGCTTCTCATAAGTTCCCAGAAGAGATAACATTCAGTTTCAGATGAAAAACAGTTTTGAAAAGCAGAAAAAAGACGCACCTGC